ATGGCAGATTTTGGAGATACTGATCCTCTGTTAGAACATAATGATGATGATGATGATGCTGATGATGATGATGATGATGACGAACGAAGTGAGGCGGGAGCAGATGAAGGAGACACAACAACACCTTTTCAACCAGACGAGAATTCAACTCCAGGGCCCTCAGGTGAAGAAAATCGAATGACGACAATGAACAGAGAGCAAGAAAAGGGCTCAAAAACTGCTGAGACATCTTTTATTGAAGGTGATAATTTTTGGTTTGCGAGTTTTAACTTCAAATGAGAATGCATGGGAAACACTTACTACAATTTTTCCTGAGGCAAAAGCTTCAGAACTTGAAGTTTCTTATAGCAAGAAAGGAAGGTTGCAGGTGAAGATGCTTGGTCAAGGCAAGAAGACATATCCTTTGTTTACTGAAGGAAAGAGGCACAAATGAGCAGAGGTGGAATCCAAGTCTCTGAAAAGAAATTAAAAAATCACTTGGTCCAGAGCGAGAGGTTTTGATTGCACAGAAATATAAAGAAATTGAGAAGCTACAACAGTCAATTCAAGATGATCGAGATATTTCTGATGATGAAAATGAAAACCCTGCTGTAAGAGAACGAGCAAGAGAAAAGATAGCAGAAAATCAAGAGCAGATTGATGATCTTGAGAATGAAAGAGAGAGACAGGAAGAAAGATTATGAGAGAATTAGAAACATCTTCAAAAAGCATGGTTTTACAGTCTCTGCTGTTGTTTTGGCAGTTGGAACAACGATTGGAGTGATTGTGAACACATTGACAAAAGGCCTGAAGACTGTTGCAAAAGGGGTGGGAAACGGGCTGTATACTCTTGGAAAATGTATCGCCGGAATTTTACCAGGTCTCATTGGTTCAATAGTCGGCTTCGTTTGTAGAGCTGCTGCCTCAGTGATCAGCTTTCTGGGACAAAATGCTTGGGTTCTGATAATGGGTATTGCCATATTTATGGTTGAGCGATTTCACAACAAAAGACGATAAATCAGGAAGGCTGAGACCAGTCCAACTGAAATCAATCCAACCTTAATTTTATCATAATTTGTATCGCTGTCGCTGGCGCTGTCGCTGGCGCTGTCCCTGGCGCTGTCGCTGGCGCTTGTATTCGTGGTCTCAGACTGAACCTCAGTTGAAGTCTTTTGAGAAGTAGGTCTCTTGATTTTTGATGAGCCCCTATTCATATGCTTAACTCCGACTGATTTCATATCCAAATCCACTGATTTATTGACCCCAAACCTCATGTCAGAACTTGCCTTCTTCAGCTTGTTATTATACCCAACTGTGCTCTGTGTGTTCAAAACAAGATTTGAGGGCATCAGCCAATTACTTGGTGAGATTGCAAGACAAAGTCTGACTTTCGCCTCATCAATCGCGAGCTGAACCCTCTGTACGCTCTTGGAGATGTCTGTCATTGTGATCGCATCCTCAACTAATACAAGGAACTCACTCTGAGCCTCTTTCGCACTTCCTGATAAACCCAAGATGGACGATATTACATCGACTTGTGAACCAAGAATACAATAGACAAATGCCTCAATCGACTGATTCAATCTCGCCATCCCGGCTTGCGCCAAGCCTTCTGACCTATCTGCCATGAAAAACTCAAACTGTTTTTTAACTTTAACATTGTCATTCCTTATGAAATATATCAGATTACCTTTTGCAGCTTTTCCACCTTCATCGCTGAAATTGTTGTCACCAGGATATGGGATTGCAGTTGCCATATGCCAAGCATTTGTGACATAAATGAAAACAGATCCGAGACCATGATTTCTTCCTTCTTTGAAGCGGAAGTCTGTGCCTGACGAAGTTCCAAATTCTGAACACTATCTTTTGAACGACGGCTGATCGTAGTTGTTATTCGTCTGACTGAAAGTTGTGTCGCCCGGGAGAGCCGATTCACTCTGTATTCCACCCATCTCAAAGAGAATTCTTCTGGTTGTGAAATAAATTTGAAACTGCAGAAAAGATTTGATCTGTTCTGGGACCATGTCAAGCAGTTCACGAGAGATTCCACAGCCTGAAGTAGCACACCACATAGCAAAGTTGAATTGTTGAGGCCAGTAGCTCATATTCGGCCCAGCAAGCCATCTCTTTGATTCTGAGCCTGAGTTGTGCACAATTTTCATTCTTGTGAATATTTCTCTGAATTTTGCTTTCAAATATTGATTTGGGGTGACAGATATCTTTATCTCTTCATTAAGGTGATTTTTCGCATTCTCGTGAAATGGAACTGCTGGAACCTCCTTATTTGCAGAAGGATTCAAAGTGAGCTCAATGGGAAATCCTGCTATTCCAAGAGCACGCTTCATTTCATCACCCCACTCTTTTCTGATTGATCCTGAGACGCTAGTTTGAACACCATCAGCTCGATTTAAGTAAACTTCTGCTTTTCCTTCCTTTTTGCTAAAGAATGTTACCTGCACTTTGAACTTGCTCAAATCTGCATTCGGATATTGTGCTTGGAAATCATTCCAGGCTTTTGTTCTTTTTTTCTCAGCAATTCGTTTTGCTTCATCTGATCTTAACCACGCAATGAACATTTTAATCTGTTTTTTTAAATCAAAATGGTTTTGTTGACAATTATTGAAGTTTCAAATGATTTCACAGTTCTCTTCAAAGAACCTCTTTTGAATCTTGGCAAGTATATTAGGCTGGTGAGCTGTTTTCTTTACAACTCATAGCAGAACTTGAGTCGGTCTGGAGAAATATCTATATTTGATGCTCAGGACAATTCATCTGTAAAGACAATTCCTGAAGGAAATTATTCACTGAAAAGCCTTGGCGAACCTCTTGAGGAAAGATTGAAAAACGAAGGAGGCAAAGTACAACTGAATGCCACAACGGCAAGTTTGGAAATTAAAAATCCTCAAAACAAAAAGCTTCTTCTTGATAATTATCTGGCTGACCTTCTTGGAATTAAACGGCGTTTGCAAAAAATCAACTTTGTCAAAAATTTTTCATCATTTAACAACTATCTTGTCCGCTGTGATCTTTTGGATGAGAAAGAAAATTTATTCAATGGAAAGCCGTCACCAGTTCTTGCGTGTTTTGACATTACATGAGAACCCTTTGAGAGGGTGAACTATTTTTCTGAAACCCCATCTCCGCGAAAAATATCTCAAAGGAATGACATCACATCAATGAAGATTTCTGTGACTGATGAAAATGACAAAATAATTGATTTTAATGGAATGCGAATGAGATTTGAGTTTGAGATAATCTAATTATAATAAATGTCCGCTGAAAATATTTTACCAAGTGCACCACCGCTTTCTCCTTCTCTCCCTAATTCGGGCTCTGATTTCAGGTTGAAAAAGATTTGTGATTGCCAGAAGGAAATTGAAAATGAGATTTCACATCACCAGAAAGTCGCCAAAAAAATACAAGAGAGTAAAAGCTGTGTGCCGCATAACATCGTCAGTCACATCCATCACGGCAGCTCTTTTATCGATAGGTATTTTCGCAGGTGCTTTGAGCGGTGTGGGTATTATAATTTCTGTGCCTTTGACAAGCATTGCGGGTTTGCTTGCTTTCGCTTCTGCCGCGACGACTCTCGCGAACAAATCTCTCGTGAAAAGGACTGAAAAACATGAAAAAACCGTCTTTCTTGCTGAAGCGAAGCAACGAACAGTCAGCAGACTCGTGTCAAAGGCCATGAAAGACTCTTCGATAGCAGAAGTTGAATTCGTTTCGATACTGAGCAAAATTGATCAATATTATTCTCTGAAAAAATAACTCAGACAAAATTCTTCAGAGAAAGTTGAGGAAGCGAAGCGGGCAGAGACTGCAACTCTCAGAGAGAAAATAAAAACAAGAATACCAAAAAAAAATTGGGCTCTCTGCTTACACTGGTGTCCCCTACACTCGCAAAGAATTGAGAATCGAATTCGACAAAAGACCGAGTGGGCTTCCTTTGTTTATTTCAAGACAAAAATCATGAATTAAAACTTGGTGTCTTTCGCTGTTTCTGGTTTGTTCTTACGTGACGAGGATGTAAACATGACAAAATTTGTCCGATGCATCAGACGAATTTTCATTGGTGGACGATTTCCATAACAACCCTGTCGTCCTTGCGTTGGCTTTTGAAAAAAACAAAGAAACATTGTAGTTTCGACAGAAAAAGACTTTCGAGAGAAAGATATCCAAATTCGTGTAAAATACAAATTAAGCTCTCAAAAATCTAAGGTGAATTTAAACTATTCAAATTCGCCATCTTTCATCATGTCAAAATTCTCTCACAAATAATATTTTCTGGTCTGATCTTCTTTTGATAAAATTTCTTTGATTATCCAGCGCATATTTAATAGCAGAAGAATTCGAAATTCCACAATCTTTGGCGGCTTCTCCGAGTGAGAAGTATTCTTTGCGAAAACCGGTTTCATCACTCACTTCAACCTTCCGTTTGCTTTTCAAAGGACTATAAACGAGCATTTCTTTCAATTCTTTGCTTGGAATCCTGTTTCTGTATTTTATTCCGCAGCCTTTGACAATTTCTCTGAAATCTTTTGTGCTTATTGGAAGCAACTGCGTTTTCAAATTTTTCTTTTCTTCCATTTTTTTATATTTCTTTAAAATATTTTTTACATTATACAAAAATGTCAGGAAGTCGAGAAGCGAAGCGAAAAGAATTAGAAATGGATGAAGCAGACAAAGAATTCCGCTTTTTCTGTAAATTTCGAGATCCAGCGAGAAAAATAAAAACACAAACAGTGAGAAGATTATTAAAACCATTCGAATGGACCCTTGATGACTATGATCTTCTTAGCGACGAAGAAAAGAGAGAAGTTGACAGAAGACTCAGGAAAAGCAAAACTTTTCTCGTTCAAAGGTGCCTTGAAGCCAAATATCTTAAACCGAGAAAGGAATATCAAAAATGGTTGAGAGACGATCGTGAAAAGATAACAGGCCTTCAATTCACAATGATGTACATAGATTTTGATCTCATTCACAAGATAAAAAATAAATTTTGGAAAAATTGAATAGAAGAAGATAGATTAAGACTGAAGAAAACTTATCGCTTTCCAAAAGATATTGATGAAAACCTCTTTCTGCTTTTGACAGATGAAGAAATAAAAGATCAGACCAGAAAAATTTCACAATTTACTTTGAAAAGAAAAGCAGATTTTCATAACTACTGCACTGATCTTATTCCAGCAAACTTCCAAAGCTGAAAAAAACCGAGATAAAATTTTGTAAAAATATAAATGTTTTATATTTTTATAAAAAATGGAGAACTGGAATGTTAAAGACGACTCGGGCTAAAAAATATTCAAACCTAATGGAATGTTAAAAACGACTCGGGCTAAAAAATATTCAAGCCTAAGAATGCAAGAGTTGATTGAGTTGATAGCAACAGCGACTGCGTCAGCGACTACAAACATTATTGATCACCCAATTCCAGCAGATTTCAATGCCCCAGTTCTCAGACCAACAAGAAATTCTGAGTAGTCGCAGACGCTGACGCTTGATCCGCAAGAACAAAGGAGAAGAGAAATAAGAGATATTGAAGGGATGCTTGGATTGAGGCCATACGTTATCACTTCGGATGACGCGACAATAGCAGATGAATGGAACGAGTTCGTTGAAAACTACCAAAAAAGTCCATTTACAGTTCGGCAGTTTTGAAAATCATGAGAGAGAGCCGCCAGACAAGACTCAAGATGATTCT